TTTCTTTTTTGTTTTGTTTGCTGAGATGATTGTTTCCATTTTATCCCTTCTGTTTGGGATTCATGATTTCGTTTACTCACTTTTTGCCCTTAGAATGCTGAAGAAATATCACCGTAATCCATGGGTAATACAGCAACTCTCAAAGCATTTTTACACTGAAGAAGTCTATGATGACTCATCAGTAGACCGGCCGATGATTAGGTGGCGTCACCGAAACTTCACTGTCGATCGTTCTCAAAATACATCCTATGGTGAGGAAGCTCATTCAAATGAGAGTCGTGTCAAGGAGACTACCTTGGAACCCAAGCAAGTTCATGTGAGTAAAAGTAAATATGCTCGAATGACGTAATTTATTATGCACAACTCTGGGTATTCTAGATAGAAATCATACCATCCAACTATTTTCTTTGTTTAATGAATGCTGAACTAGAAAATGGGAAGAACTGCAAACCACAATTTTTTGTTAATTAGAAATCAGTTAGTTACTGTGAAAAAATTGACAGTTATGTATTCTGAATCCATTTTTGAGAGAATACTGGAAAATAATGTTCCCATTTCGCTTTTAGGTGAATAGTGGTGGCAATGCTATGGAGAATCCATTGGATCTAATTTTCGGATTTTCTGAGAGTGTGGAAAATGTTTCCACTCCTGTTGAAAAAGTGAGCAAGTTATCTAAAAAACAGAGGCGCAAAGAGAAAAGGGCTGCACGTAGGCAAAGGAGGCAGCACCACAATCATCAAGAAGAATCTGACAATTGAGATGGTGAATATCTATCTATCCATGCTTTTGTGACGTTATTTCTATGTATCAGCTGCTGGTGGAAAATGCTGTTCGATTCCTGTGTTCAGTACACAATTTAAATGACTTCTTCTCGAACTAAATCCTTTGTAGCTTTGAGTTGCAACATTAGTTTGTCATCTTGTCAAGTTTTATGTAATAATGAATGGCAGGAACTCCGACTATTGACTTAACTTGGAGCTTCATGTAAAATAGTCTATAAATAGTTGTTACTTTGAACTTCTCTTGTTTAGCTGTTAAAAGTGGAAAAACAAACGAATAGCCTAGCCTGACCTTAGACAACTGAGAAATTATTATATGGCCTACCTGACTTAAATCTGCACCACTCGAAGTCTGAAGCCTTTAAGACTTTAATCGGCACCACTTGAAGCCTTAAGCCTTAACGAGGGGCATGCATTATAGGAAGAAACCCGGTTTATATCTATATCTATATCTATATGTATTTATAACTCTCAAACTCTCTTAAACGGGAGAGTTGTTTCTTGAAAATTTTGAGTTGCCAAAAATACCCAATACTATAGCTACTATATAAGGTTATTAATGTAATTTTATCGATAATGTCAGGGAGTTACAATTATTATTAGTTATATTGATTTTTCAGTCAAATAATATTCATTCTTATATATCTTTATTCTTTCTTTTTATCTTTGATCTTATTCAACTTTCATTATGTATTATATATTCAATAATTTATTTTATTAGCTGATATAGATACACTAAGATTGTCTAAGCAAATATAATACAAATAAGGAGATAAAAATAATGTGATTGATACAAGGTTAATTTTTATTTTTATTGTGTTACAGAGATCATTAAAATTTTGGATCAAAAATATATTTCTAGTATCATTATATTACTTAGCTTATATTTATTAATTATCAAAAGAATAAGTAAAATTTCAAATACTATTTTTACTTATTTTTTTTTCTTTTTTTTTC